TTTAAAGTGCATGTGTCTGTGTGTAAAACACATTTTTCCTGTGGCTGAATAGTCAGTCAGAAAGTATACAGTCCTTTGAGGACTCAGCTCTGTACAGTCAGTTTCTCTAACATAATCTACCCATAGCCAGCCTTGCTGTCTTCTTTTGCCAGCTCACAGAACCATCTGGCCTTATCACAGCATTCAGGTGCCCTAAGCATACTACCCAAATTCTCCCCCCATTCCCTCCAAGGACAGTACTAAGCCTACACTCCAAGAAACCCTGCCCTGCAGAGTTCCTAATGAACCAGATTCACTGCTGTGTGGCTGGACCTGAGCTGCTTTGTCCCTGTTCGGATTATGCCAGCCCCTTTACCACCCTGAATGCTCCCTCTCACGTCAACTCAGCTCCAGTGCAGTACACCAAGCTTCACAACTTCAATACATTATGTGTTTGTTAATCTGTGCCAGAGACAGGTGGCACAGGCTGAATAACATTAGAAGACTGTCACTTCATAGTAGCAAGCCACCTGCCAGGGCTGGGCAGCACACACAGGAGCACAACACACACCAAAGTGCCCTTGAGTCTGAAGGACAGCACTTTCTCTAATTCAAATGCTTGTACAGCTCACTCTCATTTCAGGTACTTTTGATTACAGGCACACTAAAGCATATGTAGCAATCTTTAATTATTTCATTTCTGGTTACATATACTCAGGCTAGTAACTAAGCAGAAGTTGTTCAAACGCCTCAATTCCAGAGAAGTCAAAATGGTTTTCCCCACTTCTGCACTTCATCAAAAGAATCTGAGTACAAGCAGCTCCCAGTAAAGACATTTCTCTTGAAATATTAACTCTATTCCTGGGAGGCATACCAAGTTTCAAAACAGTACTCCTACACACTTGAGACTTTTAAGAGCAGTTTAATAGTAAAAATATCATGTACCACATACTCTGTAAGGAAAGAGTATTTGAAAAAGCTCTCCTAGAGACTTCCAAACTGGAACAACTAACTCACTGCATAGCTCCTAACACTACGTACAGATTTAAAAAAAAAAAAGAAAAGAAAAAAAAAGAGTATTCAAACAGGTTTCAAACAACCATGAAATATTTGTCATGAGAAATCTGCAGGTTTGGGGAAAGTAAAGCTGCTTCCCAACACATCAGAACACAGACACAGCGTTTTGAGAAGTCTACCAAAGGCAATGTGGGCTCATCAACAAGCATGGAGCTGTGCTGGTATTTGCCATGAGCTAATATTAGACACATACATTCTGAGATTACTGCTGCATAACAAACCACTGCCTCTAGTCCACTATCCCACTCTCAGACACCTCAGAGATGCAACTTTCATCTCAACTGATTTTTGAAGTATTGCTTCTTTCAAAGGCTCATGCTGCTGAACAGATGAACTGCAGGCCAGATACACTGTATATTTTTAGGGTATTTAGTGACAGACAGTGGGTCTGGCTATACAAGAGGAGGAGGCGGGAAAAAAAAAAAAAAAGAGAAACATGGAATGTCAATTTCAGTACTGATTTTTCCTTTAAAAGAAAAAAATCAGGAACTCCTTCCTCAAACCATACTGAATTCTAACCAAATGAGAAAGCAAAATGTGACAGTGATTAGGACATGCCAGGCCTAGCTAACTAGGCTGTAATTCTCTTAAGCTGCACTGTTTCCCATTCCTTCAGCTCTGCTGCACATAGCATTCACACTCACTCCCAGGTTGAGGAGTGGGAGAGTAGGGATAGCTATGCCATGACACAGCCTCTGAGTAACACGCAAGTGGCAAAACTGGAAACAACTCCAGTATGTTTATGCATTCAGTGCCATGGCAACTTTTAACCAGTAGTCTATTCTTAAACCTTCATTATGGCACAACACAATATGGAAATAAAAAAATGAAGCACAATTTCATCAAGGTTGAGAACAGTAATCCAAAACCGCATGTGAACTCACCCACAACAGCAAGCTGGTGAGTTAAACAAACTGGTACATGGGAGAGTTGCTTCCTGTACCACTGGCGCACAGGACCGTGCAAAAAGCTTCAGCTCTTTCTTTTCAATAGGTTCAAAACATCGAAAGTTCAAAAAGAGAAAGAGAACACAAGCTCAAGCCTGCTTCTTACCAAACTGAAGCCAAGGGTGATCCTTCTCCCCCTCTGCGTGCAGAATTTCTCTGTATCAGCTGGACAAAGCTTATGTTAAATGGTAAAGGGACAGGCAAAAAAGACTTCTCTGTATGAAAGAAAGACCCAGCAGTAAGTTACTCCTGCAAACCAACAGCACAAAGACAATCCTTTCATGTAGTTGCAAGTGATCAAGCTCATGTATTCTAAGGCTTACTGCCAGTTAGTGAAGGCACTGCAACATACCACATGTGAACCCTGCCTTATCCTCAGACATGAAGTACATAGGCTTAGCTTTAACTACTGAAAAATGGCTTTAGCACAACATGACACGAATTACCTTTTTTACTCCAGAAACTTCAAAATAGCAACAAAAGTCCCTGGAGGGAACTAAGCATTTATTTCAGTAAAAGCTGGAGCAGTGGAAGTACTCACCCATCTGAGAGAAACCAATGCACCACACTAATCTCTAGCTGATAAAACAGTACAGAAGCAGAAGAAAACAAAAATAGACTCAGGTGCTTCCTATACCAGAAACCGAAGCAAGAGGAGAATGTGGCACAGCAGTGCGGTCCACTGCCTCTCACAGACCACATGTACTGCAACTTTTCACTTGGGTGTTCACATCCAAATGTTTGTTACCCTGCAGCTGCAACCAGCCTGAGCTGCAGGAGGAGCACACACTGCTGGTGGTGCAAACATGTATTTTCAGAACACTGCTCCCAAACAGACCTGCTCCTCCACGCTCAGGGGGAGCCTTCCAGCCTGTCAGCAGCAGAGCAGTTTGGCAGCCTCCTCTCTGCCAGGCAGACTTGTGAAAAACCTGAGTGAAAGCAGAACACAGAATGACATGTACATGCTAGGGCAAACCAGCTGGATGACTAACCTGCCAGTAAACTCAACAGAGCTGCTGCTATCCACCTGTGCAAACTGTTGAGCTGCAAGTGTGACTTGATTCCAGTTGCACTCCTGAGACACATCCTCCCTTCTAGGGTTAAGGCGTCAGCCACCCTCTTTGGACAAGATGAGACACAGATAAAATGTCACCCTTCCGATCCTCCCCCAAGAAGTCTAAAAGCCAAGAGGCAGTTCACAGCATGCAGCTTTTCTCAGCCTCAACATCTGCCTGGTTTCCATCCAAATCCAGCATTACTTTTGTACTCCCTCTTTAGCTAATGGGGACAGTGGCTATCTACTTGCTTGGATCGGTATGTTTATAACACAGTTCATGTTGGAAGCAACCTCAAGGCTTCTGTACATTATTTTTCTCAAAATACAGTACCCTTGCCTAGGAGGGGTCAAAAACCTAGTTATTGTCTTCCAGGAGCCACACACCCTTTTTAAAACCCTTTAAAAATATGCATGTCACTGAATTTCCATATGCTTTCACTAAACTTCAAAACAGTATGAGTGACTCATCCTGCTGAAGCATGCTCCAGAGTTGTTTTCCTAATGATAAAGCCACTGAAGAGTTCTGAACACTGGTTGCTCCTTAATCCTAAAATATTACATCCTTTTCAATAGACGTATTTCTATTGGATGGTCTGGGTAGGATTTGCAGCTCATTCTATTTAAGGGGTTTCTGAATGATTAAAAAAAGATTAAGTTTGGTATTAGTTTCCCTAAAAGAAAAGAACAAATACACAAAGATATTATTATTCTACACACTGAAAACCATACCCAGGTCCTTCCCTATGATTACTTGACCCATCACACTGACCTATGCAAACAACCACTACACTACCACAAACTCACTCAGCTGAAATGAATTACATAACTCCAGCAGAGAGGGTATTTCCCCCAAAAGCTATCTTTAGCAGTAAGTGAAGATCACCTACCTACCTTACTTTTACAGTAACAAACCTGATCCTGGCTACATCTGAACTGCAGGACTTTGTTGCTTCTGGCAACATGTGCACATCCTGGCAAATTCTTGACTGCATGCCAGGAAGAGTGAAACATTACTGCTCCCTTCCTCAGCACACATCTCTCTGTTTCATTTGGGAGGAAGAAAAGGAGGGCACAAAGTTGCCAAACTCTCTGCTATTGTGCTTCAATATCCCAAAGACTGCCAGTCAGAGACCTGGAGCTAGCAAGTGCTCTGCAGGGAATATGGAATGATCTCCTTCTCTGAATGGCTCTTTCAAATGTTGGATTTATTTTTGTTTTGAGTTGACAAAGAGAAAACGTAGGAAATCACTCTCCTTTACCTATTAGCCTTTGTGAATACTCTCATCCCACCAAAGATGTCTGTTGCAGTGACATAGTTCAGAGATTTTTCTCCATTTTAAGAATGGCTAAAACCTTTCTTCATACTGAATTTTTTCTGCAAAGCTCTTAAAATGGCATGCTATTATTTTATATAGCAAATAACACAGAGAAACATTGCTGTTGTATTAGTAAAATATGGTAAGTACAAGCATAAATGAAGCTGTGTATTCAAGTGAATCAAACTTCTCATTTCAAATGTAGGGAGTTACTGTCAGTTTCAGGCTGACTACTATCCAAGGCAATATAAGTAAAATGGGGATTTCCACAAAACACAGACTATGCTCTACAGAAATTACATTTACATTGTGCTGATTAGAAACTTCTGCATAACTAAGATGTGCATTCTTGCGGATATGTTTGCATGTAAATATTAACCAAAAATATGCTTTCATTACACCACAAACATTTAAAAATGTATTTTAAAAAGATGCATGGTACAACAGCCCAGTTTGGTCACACTGGAAATAATATAAAAGCTTGCCTGTTGAAAGGTACTAGAAATATCAGTTCACAGACATCACATGTATGTGAAATACTCTCTTTTAAGTATGACCAGTGGAAGAGCTTAGAACTGGCTAGACTACGTCATTGTTTCCTGCCTGTGAAGAGGATCTATTTTAGCTAAGTGAAGCCGAGCAGAGAAGAAGTCTAAACCTTCTACAGATTTGGGACTAGGAAAGGAGGATCTCTGAAGAAACTCTGTAGTGCACAAAAGGTCAGTAACAATCCCTTATCCTATGCTAACAAAGTGACTTGGATGTTTACGTAAATTGCTAAAATGGACTTCTTTCTTCAGAAGCTGAACACGGGTATTAATTCTAGAACTTAGGAGAAGATATTTAATTCTTTAAGGCACTTTCAAAGTATCAGCATTCTATCAATAACATCTGAAGCAAAACCACTGCATTTGGAAAAGCATAGTACCATAAATACTGAACCTTAGAATTTTTAAAATAAATTTTAAAATATACAGTAACTAAAAGCATTGGTACAAGTATGTTATCTCTAAAGGAAAGATGCTTGTTTTCATTAAACTAAAACTAGGAGAAGATCTTGTTGCTTGGTCTCTCTATTCTTCACTGAAAGCCATGTTTTTCTCAAAGAAATGTGAACAAATAGGAGAGTCAGCCAAAGCAAAAAAAGGGGATTGGGAACAGAGATGCACACACAATACTTTAAATGGCATCACCACTGCCTAACTTGCAGTATAAATCTGGAGGAAAAGATTTAATTCTGGTTTTCTTCTGAAAGTCTTGGTTTTCATACACAGCACCTAGATGGGCTTCACAATCCACATTAGACATTCAGGACCTCAGCTACCATTAAAAAATTAAAACATATTGCTAAAACATACAGACAAACATCAGAATTTCATTCAGAATTAGCACAGACATCCAGAAAACAGTTACTCCAGGGGCTCTTCGGCAAGTGCTTTAATCAATACTAGTAAGTAAGTGTTTCCATTATGAAAAACAGCAAATAGGGCAAAACTGTCCACTGAGAGACACGCAAAGATCTACTTGGGCTGACCTGCAATATATCAGCCTGAACTCCACCCAGACAAGTACTGATAAAAAAGCAGGATATCTGCATCCACATATAAATGCAGACAGGTGACTACATGCTTTAAAAAAATCTCATTATTTCTTAGCTACATAAATGTCAAGCTTTAGATTTTTAAAAATTAAAACCTAGAAGAAATACCTAATTGTAACACTGAGAGGCATTTAAACCTGCATAGTTTGGAAGCAACATCTTCACCAACTAAACAAAAAAATCCCCTTTTTGTTACAGTAAGCCATTCTTCGATATATCTCAAAACTGGCATAAACTTGAAATAACCATCAAACAAGGAAAGGAACAACAGATTTTCCTGTTAGAAGTTTATGCCAGATTCAGCTTCCCCTCTTCCGGTCAACACTGGCCTGCTGGTTGTTCAGAAACAACTTCAGGAACTACAAGTCCAAAGGAGAGAAGAACAAAAACAAAACCAAAATTCATGCTGTTTATTAACATTCATCCATAAAAAGTGAATTCTTCTACCTATCCTATACATGGCTACTCAATTCACCTGCTAAATCAGTCAGGATCTTGAGATAGGTAATCATGCACTTTGTTACACACAATCACTGGCAAGAGAGAAAAACAAACAGAACAAAAGATAAAAAAACACTTTAAAATGGATGTGTGTGTGCATGTTAAGCAATATTTGGACAACTTTACGCAACACTAATGGAAGTGGGGCAGTATGCCAGGCAGTATCTCAGCTGTGCTATAAGCATGGGATACAAAATTTTCTTTCAAGCATATGCAATCTACCTTTCAATGTGGTCTGCTATTGCTCTTTAATTCTTTTACATTTACTGCTCTTCACACAATGAGGTATTTTATTCATGCAGATGCCCTCCAAATGTTTTCTTTGTCAGTATTATATGCATACATTTTCCCATACAAAACAAATTCTGTTACATTTCCTAGAGACCTCATCTGATCAGAAAACACACCTTTTTGTTTTGTACAGCTAAAAAAAAAACCAACCTTTGAGATGAAAGTCAGCGTTAGGTACTTGTGTGCATTATTTTTTTTATATATGTGTAAACTGGGGGATTGTAAGAAAATCAGAAGTCCAATCATTGTATTGCAAGGCAAAAGCTAACCTGCAGAAAGATGTAATAGATCATACTGTAGTTAGCTACTCCATGGATAGTCTTTTCAAAAGCAGTTGATGATTGCCAGTGTCAAACCAGCATGCTATATTAATAAACACTGGTTCAATCCCCTATATATTCCTATATCACTGAAAAAAGTACCTGATAACACTAAAGTGAAAGCATAAACAATAAGCTTTTTTTTTTTTTTTTAATGCACTGTCAATTTTTGGAGATAGAACACACAGGAATTATGCACTCTTCTGCTCTTGAGAACAGTTTTGGTGCCTGATACATGTACAGAACTTACATGGCTGTCGGTCGCAAGTGGGAAGATAAGACAAACAACTAACTCTTTCCTCCTCTTCATGAAGCTGCCACAGGGCTGGGTAAAAGGCCAAACAAGAGGAATCCTTCCATGCAAGGTCATGAAACTGTGACCACAGGAAGAGCCAAGAAAGCAAGGGGGTGTAGGTTAACCAAGGCACCCATGCAAACATCAGGTAAGGTTTGCCAAACTCAAATGGCTCCAGAGTAACCCAGGGGATGATCTCTTTCAGCTCTCATCAACCGAGTCTGCATAATGACATTTCAGATGTCCAACTCCAACAATCACGAAGATGAGAGAAGCAACACAACTGTGCTTTGGAGCAGCTGGCTACCAGCCAGCAACTTATCCCTCCACAACAAATACTGTTCACACAGGGTGTGGTCAGAGCCTGCATCACTTCCCATCTTTTTACTTTTTTAAATAGGAAGTCTATCAATACATTAATCTTAGTCATATGTCAGGTGGTTGGTTCTGATGACCTGGGATTAAATACTCTATTAGAAGCTACGTAGCTATTAAGATAGCTTTTTAATGTCTTTAATGAGCAACAGCATGCACCTATTCTTTTGGGAGCTAAGTAGTTCCTACACAGATAAAATGCAAAGTCAGTACTTCACTTTGCATACCCAAATGTCAGTACATGTGATGCTCTCTTATTTCTTTCCATAACTAGTTTTAGTCTTTAATTTTTCAACAGGGACAACTTGAAGGAATACTTTCTTTAGAAAACAGCTCTCTTACCTCAATTACAGTTGTTTCAATTTAATCATTACTTAGAAGCACACTCAAAGTAGCTAATCAATTTTGATTTTTTGATTCCTTATATAACAAATATCTTAAGTAATTAAAATATTTCATTAAAACTTCCATATGAATACTATTTCTCTTCCTTCAGAGCACAATAATGTATTTGTAGTCAGAAAACACAACAAAGCTAGCACATTTTCACAGCTAAACAATACAATCTCATCACTAAACCCCATCCCACAACAATCTTCTTTGTTTTTAAAGAAAGCTTTTATTTGACTAACTCTTCATATTTTATCTATTAGTAGGGTATTTATGGAGGGCAACAACTATTCCTAAATTCAACTGAAATATGAAGCCTGGAAATCACCACCCTGAAGAATACAGGATTGCATCACTGGTCTTTTACAGTTTTGTATTCATAGTGGGATTGCTGGTGAATGCCACTGCACTATGGGTTTTCAGCTGCACTACCAAGAAGAGAACAACTATAACTATATATATGATGAATGTGGCATTACTTGACATAATTTTTACATTTTCCTTGCCTTTTCGGATAATCTACCATGGGAAAGAAATGTGGCCTTTTGGAGATACATTCTGTCGGATTATCAGCGCTTTCACTATATTTTATCCAGCCATTGCTCTGTGGTTACTCACTTTTATAAGTGTAGACAGATTTATGGCTATTGTCCAGCCCAAACATGTCAAAGAACTGAGAAACACAAAAAAAGCCATGCTAGCTTGCACTGGAATCTGGGTAATGACCCTCGCAACGACGTCCCCATTAGTGTTTTTACAGTCTGATCCAGACAAACACTTTAATTTCACCACTTGCATAAAATCGCTGGATATCATCCATTTAAAGGAAGTAAATACATTGAACTTTTCTCGCTTGATTTTTTTCTTTTTGATTCCCTTGTTTATCATGATAGGGTGTTACCTAGTCATTATCTACAATTTCATTCATGGCAAGACTTCCAAACTGAAGCCTAAGGCCAAAGAGAGATCCATAAGAATTATAGTAACTCTGATTGCTCAAGTACTCATCTGCTTTGTACCCTTCCACATTTGCTTTGCCTTCCTGATGTTGCAACATGAAAGTACAACTTACAACCCCTGGGCAGCCTTCACCACCTTCCTCATGAATCTCAGTACGTGCTTGGATGTTATATTGTACTATATTGTTTCTAAACAATTTCAGGCGAGAGTCATCAGTGTAATCCTCTATCGCAATTACCTTCGCAGTGTGCGCAGGAAAAGTTTTCGAACTGGAAGTGTAAGATCACTCAGTAATATGAACAGTGAAATGATATAAAGAGAGATAAAAAAAAACTCAGGGGACTTTTATAATGTGAACAAGTGATTCTGTTTCTGAATAGCAGCATTTTGACTACACTGAAGAATGTTCTATTGCCAGAAGTAACAGATATATTTGTTGCAACTTTTTATATTTGCTCAACTGCTTTTGTAAATCTGAAATTAGTTAAAACCTTGTATAAGTGTTAAACTTTCCAATGCTTTTGTCATCTCAAAAGACTGTGAATATTGCCAGACATAACTATAATAAAGCAGACAATGCTGAAGAATTATGATGCAACACATACTTATTTTTTATATTTGCACAACCAAATGCTCCTGAAACTACTGTATATGCCACTTCTAAAATTAGCTTCATTCTCTCTAGACCAGTGTTAGCATGACTCAAAGAGGAGCAGCCTGTTCCTGAAGGGCTGCACCCCATGGAAGGGACCTACAGAGCTGACTACAACCCCCATTCCCCACCCCCTTGTGCTGCTGGCAGGGAGGAGAGAGAGAAATCGTGAGTGAAGTTGAGGCCAGGAAGAAGGAAGGGTTGGCTGAAGATGTTTTTAAGATTTGGTTTTATTTCTAATTACCCTACTCTGATTTGATTGATAATGAATTAAACTGATTTCACCAAGTCAAGCCTGTTTTTGCTCATGAGGGTAACTGGTGAGTGATCTCTCCCCGTCCTTATCCCAATGCACAAGCCTTTTGTTACATTTTCTCTCCCCAGTCCAGCTGAGGAGGGCAGTGGTTAAGAGTGACTTTGGGGGGCACCGGGCATCCAGCCAATGTAAACCCACCACAAAGACATACTAAAAACATAGAAGGAAAAGCATCTAATATGGTGTTTAATATTAAAACTCTCACTCCAAGAGCTTTTATTATTACCTCAGAGTGTGCAACACATGGAAACTCAAGTCTGTATGAAGCTCTAAGATTCTACTGTAACATGGACATCTAACTTTTATTAAGTGCAGAAATCTCAAATATAGGTTATGCAAAACTGAACCACTAAACACCTTAAAGCTTTAAAAACTTCAGTTGCAAACACTAAATGGAATAACATGCTCCAGTACTCCATTTTTGGAATACATACAAACTACCAGTATGAAATGCATACAACTGCATATGTATGCAGTGCAAGCCCAGTCATGCTCCAATCATGCTGACAGTGGAAACGGGGATAAGAGAATGAAAAATTAATCATTATACAAATAAATTATAGATTAATTAACCACAGATCACAACTAGGAAACAAATGTTTGAACACATAATAGCTGCGCCAAGAAACTTTACACTGTCTTCAGAAGAGGATTAAATTTAATTTAAAGGGTTGCATGAAGAAAGTGGTTTGTTTTTTTTTTCATTAAAAATTGTGCAAAATAATCCCTTGAAACTATATCTAAAATAATCAATACATTAGGAGCTACTTACAAACCAGAAGGCAAGCTGTTGATGGTGATGCCAAATATATACTGAGTGACTTCTACAAGAAGAAGATCAAACAAAGCAGAGAGCATCCAAGCACCCAGTAAAAAGGACTGGAAAGAAAAAAGTTTAATTATAATTAACTCAAAAGTTTAAAAACAATGCATCTCTAAATAAAAGAAAACCCAAGAAAACCACTACACTAGTTCATATAAGACAAATAAAATATTTAGCACAACATAATTCCAGATCTATGTCTAGATACCAAAATAAAGACTTAAAATTTGTTATCAAAATTAAATTCCATGGGTCTGATAACTTTCAACTATAACAGCTGCAAACTTTGATTAGGATAATACACTGACTGGAAGATATATCAATATAAATTTATGGAAACCAAATAAACTTTAAAGCCCTTTAACATATATTTTTATGCAAAATGCTAGTAATAAACTGCAATATTAATCCAAGACTGCAAGATTCTAAACAGTGCAGAAAACAGTTTCTGTTAAAAAAAAATATTAAATAACTGTAACTTACTGAAAATTTTCTGCTGCCATATCTTCTCTCAAATATTCTAAAGTTGTAAATGAGCAGACTGCTGCAGAATGTGTCTTTCAAATCAAGACATATAGTTCTCCCACATACAAGTCTCCAAATCTAAAAGGTTAAAGATCACGATGTTAAGTCTCTCTTCCTTCAAAGAAATTTTTACAGAATCTGTGCTCAGAGAGAATATAATACTGAAATCAGGTAAGAGAAATGCAGTACATTTAAGGAGGGAAATAAAAAGAGTAGCATGTTATAGAATACAAGAAGTCTGTTTAAAGTATTTTCAAGGAAGAGGTTTACCTGTTAAAAATAAATCTGCAATTCAAATGAAGTCAAATACATTTATATGTCCATATTTTACATTTACAAATCCATATGGAAATCACAACCCTAGTAAACTGCAGAATTATATAAGAAAAATATTTTTGAAGCAGCCTCCAGACATCAACTAGTCTAGTCTACCGCTATAAGCAGGTCTAATTAGATCAGCTTGCTTGGGGCCATGTCAAGCTGAGTCTTGAACACCTACTAGGATGGAGATTCCACAACCTCTCCGGGCAATCTGCGCCAATGTTTGACCACGCCATGGTTTAAAGAACTAAATCAAATCTAACATCTAGGCAGAATTTCCCATATTCCACTTTATGTCCACTACCTCTTGTACTGCCCCAGAGCAGCTCCAAGCAGAGCCTGGCTCCAGCTTCTTTAGAGCTTACAATCAGCTACTTGTAGACAGCAAGAAGGTGTCTCCTCTTTGCCTTCTCTTCTTGAGGTTGAGCAGACCCACTTCTCTCAGCCTCCCCTTGTATGTCACATGCTCCAATCTTCTGACTCTCTTGGTGGACCTGCCCCAGTGTGTTCCTACCTTTCTTGTACTGAGGATCTCAGAACCAGACACTTGTGAGACCCCATCTAAAGCACTGTTTGTAGAGTATGCTACTGGCACACTTTTACTAACAGAGTCCAGGAGATGGTTGGCCTTCTTTGGCTGCAAGAGCACACCACTGACTTCTGCTATGCATCAAGATTCACAGGTCCTTCTCTGCAGAGCTACTACCCAAGCACTTGTTCCCCCTAGCCTGCACTGTTGCAGCCTGAGGTTGTTCCATCACTGTAGCAGAGACTTTCCAGTTCAAGAAGTTCCCATCAGCTCATTTCTTGGGCTTGCCAAGGTCTCTCTGAATAGCAGCTCTGTCTTCCAACATACTGACTATTCCCATGTATTCTGGATCACACACAAACTTAAAGTGCACTTCATCCCATCATCCAGGTCACTAATGAAGACATTAAATAGCACTGGTCCCAGTACTGATCTCTGAGGGGCCCTCCCCTGATTAATACCTGCCAAATGGACTTTGCACTAATGACCATAACTCCATTGAGTCTAGCCACTCTTCCACTCATCTTCTTGTCCAATTATTCAATCTGGTTTTGACTATGTCCAAGGATGGAGATTCCATAATTTCTCTGGGAAAACTGTTCCTCTGTTCCATCAGTCTTACACTTACAGTAAGACTGTATGCCTGTTGCACCACTCCTATCTCATGAGCTAACACACCACATCGCTGTGACCCCAGTGAGATTGTAGCCCGGTAATGACACATCAGCTTTAATTCCTCATATTTGTTTCCTATGTAGTATGCATTAGCATACAGTCACACTGATTTCTCAGAAAATGTATGGGAGTGTTTCACACAATGCTGTCCCATAGGCACTTATTTATATGCATATACTTGAAGTAGATCCTTTTCAGTCCTGTTTTGTCAATTACAAGAGTGCTTCTGTTCACTGTACCCTTTGCTGGCTAACCCAATCCACTGCCTCCTCATTTGACTGTGGGTTGTCATCTCTCTCCTGTCTTGTTCCTGTCTTAAAGTTCTCACCAGGCTGGCCTGCCTGTTAGAAGGGATGCCTTTGTCCCACTTGGTCAAGTGGATCCCATCACTTCCAAGTAGTCGTCAATCCTCAGAGAGGGTCCAATGGGCACAAAACCCCAAGCCCGGCTGCCAACATCAGCTGTGCAACCAATTCTGACCCACAAGATTTGTCCCTTTCACTTAGTTGGCTGCTTCCAGTCGCCTTTGTGTCCTGCATGTGTTGAGAAATGGTTTCTAAAAAGATTTGCTCCATGACTTTCCTAGGGACCAAGGTAAGGCTGACTGGCTTGATGTTACCTGGATCCTCCTTTCTGCCCTTCCCAAAGATGGGTATGATGTTTGCCTTTCTCCAGCCATCAGGTACCTCTACCAATTGCCATGGCCTTTCAAAGATGCTGGAGAAAGGTCTCACAATTAAATTTACAGCTCCTCTGGCACCCTCAGAGGTAATCCATCTGGTCCATTAACTTATGTATGTATAGTTGGGTTAAGAGATCCGTAACTCTAATCTCTAAGGCTTCTAAACCTTATCACTCTTTACTTTAGCCAGCTTAAAAAAATATATAGGTCTAATGTAATCGAGATCTTCATCTTACACAGAGCATCTTCACTGCTCTTCAGGGTCCCTTAATGGAGACAAAGATCTTTTCCTTTTGGACAGCTCATATTTGCCTTCCAAATCAAATGTACTCTTCTTCAACTGCAAGCTTTATTTCCAATGCTTTCTAACAGTTTTAACTAGTGTTAATATGCAACACCCAAACTGTCTGTTCAGCCCCTGAAAAAAAGAATCCACTCAACTAAATTCATCCCTGTAAATGAATTTATTCTAAATAAATTTTCTTTGCAGTGTTTTCATTTAAATATTAGCATCAGACAGGAGTTAAATGATCTGCTCTCTCTGGTCTCAGAGGTACACAATTATATAATATACAGCCTACTCCAAAGGCTATGACAGCACATGAAACAACAATTTCAAGAAAGAAAACATCCAAACCCACAAATTCTCCAAAGCACCACAATAAAAGTAACACAGCTTCTACAGAAATTCACAAATTTTTGTGCTTAAAACACAGTAAAGACAGTTTACTTGAATAAAGCACAGCCACTACTGGCTTTCAGCAGATCAAACAAATAGAGAAGACTTTTCTAACAAAAAGCTGCAAACCAAACAAATAAGCAAACAAACCCCAAACCCACTAGATTTCTATTTAAAACTTTGAATAGTTTCTCAGCTTTTCCTCCCAAAACACTTGTCTGTAACATTTTTAAAAGGCAGATATTAATTTATGTATTCCTGCTGCACAGCATTACCAAGACACTTGGAAAATACCATCAGTGCTCTTGCAGAGTTGTAATACACGTTATTTTAACAAAGCTCTTGTTCTTGACAAGAAAAATTGCAGACAGTGCAACAGCAAAGTGTATCACTTTTAAGGCTTATAGGCTACAGTTGGCATCCTCAAAGACATTGACTACATACTTATTTTTTAATGTAACTGTAAAACATATGGAGTGAGATAACTAGAGGCATTTGTTGACCTCTCTGCTGAGCAGTAGATTGCCATTTCCAAAGCTGAAAAAAACCCACAAAAAGCAACAGATCCCCACAAAACTTATCTAATCACTTCTAAGTGCATTATTTTGACAGTTACAATTTGAGGATTCTTAATCAAGCTAAGAACAAAACTATACAAAATGCACTACCTAGAAGATAAAGGATATCAGTTTGAAGTAGGAATGAGCAAAAAATGCCTAGCAAGATAATTAATTCAGCAGATAACTGAGCATAAGGAGCATGACAAACTCCCCCATAATTTCGAATCATCAAGTTAGAAGCAGCAGTTCTATTCAACAGGCAAATTTCAGTTTTCCATAGCTCACTACAACAGAAGTCACAGAGTGAAAGTTACAGCCAATGTTGTTAAAATAAATCTTATAGAATCAGACTACCTGATCACAATAGCCCTCTTCAGCCTCAAAATCAAAGCATAATAAGATCCTGACATTCATACCAAAATACTTTTATTATTACACAGCTGAAATCACCATTCACAGCAAGCTTCCAAATGCCAGTGGCTGGAAGGAGAAACAATACAAATCAATCATTTCCCAGACAGAAGAAAGAAGTGAAAAGCTACGTTGATTGTTTCGGATCACTTTTTCTCACTTCTTCTGAAAAGCAGCATACTTGGGTAAAATTACAGAGAGGTAAGAACAAGCTGTTCTACAACAGTGAACAAAGGGAAAGAACCAGAGGAGAAACAGAGTGAGGAAGGGGGAATCACATAGAAGAGCACAGTTTGCAGTCTTTTTCCACACAAAATGAACTGACTCTTACCTGAAAATCCTCTTTTATAGCTTGTAGGTTATATGCAAAGAACTTCTGATAATGTTGGAAGAGCAGAGTCAATAGAATCGAGATGGCACTTGGGACTAGTAACAGACTCTTCGACAAAGGTGCTTTATCTTAAAGACAAAAACCAACCAAACAAAAAAGCCATTTTAGAGAAATGTCTCTCACATTTAAAAAGTAAAATATTTAAACAATGATTGAAAAATATAATAGCAGTGGCATCACCTGGACTTCTCAACAGCTTCTCAAGGTCTCAAAAACTTATAGGAAAAACACACCCACAAAAGGAAGTCTTTAGTACTAAATAATATTTAGTATATTAGTGGCAGTTGAATACTAATCATTTTGTTTTCAATATTCTCTCATGAAATTAATTGTTTGGCTATAATTAAACCTAAGCTCTCTGTCTATAGAGGTCATGCCCTCCTATGCAGCCCTCCTAAGGCCCAATCTTCTTTTGGGAAATGAAACAATCTCTTCTTTTCAAAAGCAAAATACACGCACATCTAGTAAAAATAAATACCTTTGTTTCCTTTTCATCAGGGGTTAAGATTAGCTTTTTTTTTCTAGAGGCTACGAAAAACAGGAATCACCTGAACAAATGTCCTGAACAAATTGACTTTCTCTTCACCACACTTGGATCCACCATTCAAGGAAACATATTGAAGTTAATTTACATGATATTCATCTTCCTTCCATTCATTACCATTATTAACAAAGAAATTAATAAAATTAGGACATCTGTGAAATCAGAACTTCTTTTCCCCTAGTAAATGACTTTCAGAAAGGACACTCTGAAGAAAGCAGCAGAGAACAGAGACATCTGCAGCATGCATTTACTAAAAACTGCCAAGTGGAATACCCAGCAGGAGTGTAAACTGCTGGTGCCGTTGACACAACAAAAACAAACTCCTGCCCAACAGTTCAAGCCAATATAGAAACTCTGAAATATTATTTCTTCTATGATTTTTCTCCTTTTCATACACGCAACCTGAATTGCATTTACTTCTTTCCCAAACATTCCAGTTACAGCATGGAATCTACTGATTTTCAGAAGGGTATTATGAAATCCATGGCTTTGTTGTCACTGTTCTTGGATAACAAAAGAAGCAATAAGTCTACTTTAAAAGTACTAATGGGAAGTAAGAAGCAGACCAGAGGAATTAAAAAACTGCATTTAAAAAGTGTAATATAGGGAACATTTAGTACCTATCCAGATATACTGACTACCACAAATGATTTCATCCACATCTGCTGCACATTTGAAGAATTAACAGCTAGAATAGGAAGATGGTAATAGGCACGATAGCCAAGATTTTAATAATGGCACAATCCCACTCAAAAATACAGTTCTTACTACATAATTTACACATATTCCTCATCCAACTACCAACCAATGACATCAAGACCAGCTTTGATGGGCACTGTTAGCTGTTCTCAGCTCACACCACCCTGGTCTGCACTCTTTTGATGTTCTGATGATTATATGAAGAAAACATCCCTTCCTACATGAATCCTAACATAAACTTGTACTTAAAACTTTTCGTTCAGTCCACAACCATATGTTTGAGCTCATTATTTACAGACTCACTTACCTTACTACATTTAAGCAATGCCTTGAAGAACTATCCTTTTCCAGAAATTAGGCAGTCACCTGGATTGACATCGGTTGCTGTTACTCTGACAACCATAAGTTACACTTTTATGATTGGATTTTTTGTGAAAGACATATCAAGGAGGCAGAAAGCCTGGCTAATTTTTCTTTTAATGCAAGAAAACTATCCACCTTTCAATTTAATATCCTTCTCTGGATATTTGTTCACTCAAAAAAAAAAAAAAAAGAAAAGAGCTATAGTCTTTAGATATAAATTTTCTAAGTTATTCATTCCTCTTATTTAGGTGGATGCTTCAAAAAAGTTTGAAGCTATCAGAGTACTGTAGAACACTGGAGTTAAAAATAAGCTAGAGCTGCCTGAAAGTTATTGTGCACATGATGCATACATACGTTCACTGGAAACGTCAGGAAATGCTCCCTAAGTTAACCTAACTCAGTTAAATTAACATTCCTTCATGTGAAAGGGTCAGTTTTATAATGAGACTAAAACAGATATTTGAAAGCACAGACAAAATCAGAACATTAGTAGCAGTCACCACAGTAGATGCTTCTGAGCCAAAATTTTATCAAACTTGTTATTTTATTATCAAATACATTTCTGTTATTTCATGAGTTTAAATAGATTTGTTTCCAGAACACATCAATCCTATAATACTTTTCACATGAGGATCACATTACCACAAAAAATATGAAAAGCAAATCACTAGATTTCCATCTGTGACTACTTCTATACAGGTTTAATATTTAGATTTTATTATAATTTTCATATCATTATTTTTACATTACAGGTAATACTTGAAATACGTTATCTTGTCAAGTTCATTCCTAATTTGAATGCATTCAAAAATAACCAATCAACAGAACTTAATCTGTTTTCTCCAAAAGTGTGAACTCACATTTTTATTATGAACCTCCTTTTAGCTTTCAGCTTAGATGCTTTAAACGTTGTTATAGAGGTAAAGTACTTACTTTTAAGCATGTTATCAAGTGAAAAACCACAGAAGTAACTAACCCATTAACGTGACAGTCAACCCCAGAGAACATCATGTGAGTAACAGAAACTTCTACTCTCAAGTTTCTCCATGTGTCATCATGGTTGATGAGTTTATCCTTATCCAGTAAACTCAAAAAGATAAACTCTTCCAGAGAAATAATGTACCTCCTGAAATGTTTCTTTCCAAGTGTTTCACTGTACAATGTAGTAGCTTGCTTTACCCCTCTACAGCATATAGATCCTAAGCAAGGGCTGCTGTGAGGTCACCAGTGAAGAAGCAACCCTCCCGCTGCTGTGGAATCCCTCGACCAATAAAACCAAAAATTACTAACAATTACAAATATTGCATAGTCGGACATTCTGACATCCAAGTCAAATTCCTTACTTGGAACATGAAGGTAATATCTAGAAAGAAAAATTCTAGTCCAATGGATTTGCAACTGTGTGCAGGATGGAAATGTATACTACAACCTACTGGGCTATCAGGGCCTGCTGGCAGCAGCGATATAAATGTGCACAAGGAGGGCCTCTATACCACATAAAGAAAACAGAATGAAAGGATAAACACTCATTTTGACCCTGAAGACTTAAAATATATAAAATACTATCTTCATACCTTGGAATAAATTTGCAATGCACTCCTTAAGTGGCAACTCTTTCAAAGAACAGGCAGAAATAGCACTGGTGCTGCAATACGCATACTTGAGCTTTCATCCTTAGATGAAAGATGAACAGAGAAATTTTGTAATAACCAGCTGAATGTGCCCATGCTGTGATGAACGCCAACAAACCAGCTTTCACTACAGATCTTTGCTCCCCCTGGTGCAACAGAGCTCTCCCCAAAACTGCCTTCATAAATTCACAGGCAAGTGTCCCAACCACTTTGTGCTACCACTGCACAATGTGAAGCTGGTCCTAAAATATGACAAGAATGAGAAAACCACCTTGAAGTCATAGAATCACAGAATGGTTTGGGTTGAAATGGACCTCAATGATCGTCTAGTTCCAAACCCCTTGCCACGGGCAGGGACACCTTCCACAAGACCAGGTTGCTCAAAGCCCCATCCAGCCTGGCTCACATTCCACCCCTGAACTCATGACAAAGCCCATAAATTCAAGGGAAGATGGCTTTAAACTGAAAGAGGGTAGATCTGGATTATCTATTAGGTAGAAGCTCTTACTGTGAAGGTGCCGAGACACTGTAACAAGTTGCACAAAGATGCTCTGGCTGTGTCACCCCTGGAAGTGTTCAAGGCCAGGCTGGACAGGGCTTTGAGCAACCTGGTCTAGTGAAAGGTGTCTCTGCCCATGGGGTTGGAGCTAGATGATCTTTAAGGTCCCAGCTTAAGTAATTTTATGATTCTTCCACAACCTACTACTATTCTGGCTGACAGTACCACTTTCAAAGTGCAGAATGTTAAGGAAAGGATGCGTCCATCTGTCACAAATGGAGGGGGAGGTTTACAGTAAACTGCTCAGGCAGCTGCAGCTTCAGAATCCACCACTGCACTAAGGAGAAGAATATGAAAGTTGTGGTAGCAGCAACAGCTACAGTTTTTGAAATTATTTCCTGTTCCCTGCCTGCTCACCACTCACAGGTGAAGAAAGATAGCAGATGAACGTGTCAAAACAGGCAGTCAGACCAAGCTATTGTTTCAGAAGGGCTTTTCAGGCCATAACTTCACCCCCCTGGACAGTTATTCCAGGCCTGAGACTCAAGTGTTGACTTGGGAGAGGACCCTGTTGCCAAAGATAGCTGATGAGCAGTAGCTGAAAAGCTCAAATTAGTTCAGCACATTTTTTGTGGGGATCTCTACTGAGCTTATACCACAGCTGCAGACAAAACATGCTGTGCAACAGCTTTTTTTAACATTGTCATCTGCATACTTCCCAAAACCAGCTGCTATGAGGCACATACACCACTTTCAGACATTCAATAAACTGCTGGGGGCTACTGCTACAATGGCATGAAACACGCATGAACCATTTCTTTTAATGCTGATACACAAGATCTGTGAGTCTTTAAAGCCACAACTGACGCACACCTGAATGCACAGTACTTCCCAAATGCACAGTACTTCCCATATGCACTAATGGAATGTGTGTTTTAGGTGGTTGTTTCTCTCGCATGAAGCCATCGTGCAGATATTCACCTACTGCATTCCAAGATCTACCCAAGAACCTGCATCAGGTTCACCGACAGTGACATTTCAAAATGACATTTCAAAACAGACTCTTGCTTACTATTTCTGTTTGCTACAGATTAAATGGCAGCATGAAAACCTCCTCTTTTGGAAATCTTGTTTGTCCTTTATTGTAATGGTTGATGAAACCAACTACGCAAATTGGAATTTAGTGACAAATTGGAAATTAGTGCTTCCAGTGTGTGCTTTTGGGAGATTGGAGCCATCTTAGTAGACCTGAGGAGTAAAAGCTTGTCTGTATTATAACCACATGCTGAGTCCTGAACAGTAGCCAAGAACAAACGACAGCATGCCATGGAGGGAGGACGGTAAGAAATATGGACACACGTAATACTGCTTGAGGAATCTGGAAGACAGCAGAAGACTGTATACAGACCGGTAGGATGGAATTTAACCATATTATGTTTTTATAAAGTTTGCTCAAGTCAGTGTAATTGGAACTAGATGATCTTAAGGTCCTTTGCAACCCTAATTATTCTATGACATGACTGCACCTTTTGGGAAAAACATGCAATACAAGAGGACCCTGCAAAAGCAGTTAAATTCCTGCTTCCTGAAAATCTTATATGAAGTATTCTGTGTCAGGAAAGCAGCTCTTGCTCCTGGTCTAGGCACAGACTCAGGAAGGGGACTGCATTCAGACTGTCACTTCATAGCACACTCTAGTGGTTAACCATCACGATGCCAGCAAGTGAATACAGTAACAGTATCATCGCAGGAACGGATTTTTATCAAATGCTTATAAACTTACTGCAGAAGCTAAGAGGTGAATAATGTTAGTATATATATCAAGAAAATTGATATAGAAACCAACTATTATCATGTTTTAAATCTTTTTCTAAAAGGTGCTGGTAAGCAGTCAAAGCAGTTACCTATACATTTACTGTTTAGAAACCTGCTGGGTTTAGCCTAGGTCACAAACAATAGAAGAATGAGATGCTACAAAAATAAAAGGGAAGGGAAAAAAAAAAGGAAGAAAACTTTGTTTCTAAGAGGAACATTTAAAAAGAAATAGAAAGTGAAACAGGTTGAAGTTAACAAATACACCCACTTGGTTGAGCAGCCTTTTCTTCCTCCCAACCACAGAGCATATTACCACACTACTATTAGTATACACTGCCAGGAATATCAGGTATGGCTACACCACACCACCACACAGAGATCCCCAGCGCTCGCTTGAGATGAGCTACCTCTGCAACAGCAGCAGAATAGCCACATTTTTGTGGTGTTCAATGCATGGCTAATTGAACTGATGTGGCTATGCTGCTCCAGGACTCAAGCAAATACTCTGAACCAGGCTGCACTGTGGCATGCTATGTACAAGCTAATTTGTTCTGCCATACAGTACTGTTCTATTGTTATGCACAGAGGTCTGGTATATTCAATACAGACTTGGTTTCTCCTCCAGTCGTACCACAAAGCATAAGCTTACATCCTTTTGTTATTTTCCTGAGGCCCACACACAGCACAGTTCAGTCTTGTAGGTTATGCAAGCAGAGGAGCACAGCGTTCCCTTCTTGCCTTGGGGATCTGTAACAAATTGCCAGCACTGCACTACAAGGTTCACGCAAAGGTGAAAGCGTAAGTTGCATTAGCAGAAATGCTTGCACTCAAGTTTAAAGGACTCTACTCCATACTACTACAAGAAGTAGCTTGTGTGTAGCAGGCAAAATAGTAAAATATTTTCCAGATGTAGGAAGTGGCTTTAAAACATAGACTCAAATTTTACTATAATAAGCTCTAACAGGCTTTCCTAAGGTACTTGTGCAGTATTTCACGTAGCAGAAAAAAATACTGGGAGGGGATATTACAATGTCTGCAGAAAAGTTAGGTGTTGGTCTTACAGTTTTAAGTTGCTGGAAAGGCCTTGGTGTCTTATAACAAAAAGCCTTCTGCATATCATTGCTCCTTGGTGAACAAGCACCGAACACAGCTAAGCAGTATTACAGTAAATCAAACAGACAGCCCAGCATCAGTCTTCATGCACTCACACTAGCCTTTGCAGAACCACTAAGGTGTTTCAGCAGCATTCTTCATCGGACTCAGGTTGCTGGCAGACTGCAACACAAGAAACCATTCTGGGCCCAACACCACAGCCGACCTCTCAAGCCCTTCCTTCCCTTAAGGCAGGTGCTGCCACATGCTTTCTGAACATGCTGCAATGCTGTTTTACAAGCCAACTCAACCAGGTCAGCGTTTTGCTAAGTCATTTGAGCATGCCTATGCTGTGCTTCCTACTACCCAGAGTAATCGGCCTTATTTTTGCTAGGGCGTTATCAGCTCCTCCAATATTCCAGATTACAGAAATAGTTTCCTTAACAAGGGCAAACTGTCTTTGTCCTTTTAAATGGTATTCTTCCTTGTTTCCCCAACTTCCATATCTCATAGTTGCAACATGTACCAGGTATGTATATTTCTGTATCTCCGCATCCAAAACTGTGCGTGTCATGTCCTGAGTAGGTGTGTTATCAACTCCCAACACAGTCATCATCTGCTACACCTAATACTGCCTGCCTGGAATGCAGCACGTCACTCCTAGCAAAGGACCTACTTGTCTGAACCAGCTCATATTCACCCAAGGTTGGACTGTTGCTGGAGGGGGTTGGTTCTATCCACATCTCTTATAACATCACTTTTTAAGAACCTCTCTGCCTATGAACGTGATTTTAAACAGTACCGAACAGAAGAAGTAACACAAAGGATTTATACCAGGACTACCCAACTAGGATATGAAATACCAGAAAAACACTTTATTTAAGAACTCAACTGCAGCGCTCAAAGTCATGAAACATCTCCTTAAAAGGCACATGGACAAGGTCAAGGACTTGGCTACTCAGGTCCAGCTATTCCAGAATTGCTTACAAGAAAGTCTAATTTAAATAGAAGCAATCAAACTTACAAGACCCAGGGGCAAAACTGAACATGGATACACATGTACCCAACCCTGATGCAACATCACGCACTGCTTCATTAACTGCCTAAACCACCAGATCCTGCACATCTGCACATCCCACAAACCTGCTGCTACTGCAACAGATGCTTCAGGTACAGAGGTAGAAACAAAAGTCTGAAGGCACATCTTACACTGCCAGAGTGTGCACTAAATGAGTGTATGTCACTGCCACCTAAAACTGTGCCTCTACTAGAGTCTGTCAGTGAACCTGAACCAGCCAAGTCTTACTGTGAAAAATCACTGTAGGTCAACAGGTAAGTACACTAAGAGTGATAGGACAAGGGGCAATGGTTTTAAACTGGAAAAGGGTAGATTTAGATTAGATATTGGGGAAAAATTTTTCACTGTAAAGGTGGTGAGACACTGGAACAGGCTGCCCAGAGCAGCTGTGGATGTCGCATCCCTGGAAGTGTTCAAGGCCAGGTTGGATGAGGCTTTGCACAACCTGGTCTAGTGGAAGGTGCTCCCACGGCAGGGGGGTTGAAACAAGATGACCTCTGAGGGTCCTTTCTAACCCAAACCATTCTGTGATTCTATGAGGAAAAAAAGTTAAAACATTTACTTTTTGCAGAATGGCATCTTGTCTAGTTTATTCTCCTAGCACAAATATGTTTCTTATGACTGCAATTTTCCACGCATCCTTCTGATGGACCTATTTTGGGAAAACATTTCAATACTGACTGTCACTTTCCACCCATTCAGCCAAACAAGGTTATTTTCCTTCTTTCTCATAGAATTATACCGACATATGCCACCAAAAGGCTGTTGTTCTATAGTACCTATTGTTGGGGTGAAAAAAATGAAAAAAAATCAGGAACTGTGACTCAAGTATAGTGCTAGAATCTGCAAAAATACTCCCCCCTCTTTAAATGCCTTACAGAGAACACAGTTACAACTAATACCCCTTCTGAAATGCCAGCTCTATTCATCCCTAGTCAGAGGTGCTTTCACACTCAGTCTAGACTTTTGCGTGAAGCATGCAGTTAAGCAAAGTTTTGACTTATCATTTGTCCCAGCCTGCTCTGAGGACTGTAGAGCCAAAGTCCACAGTGCAGCTGGTTTGGTTCTTCATCGCCATTTCTAAATGTGGCAGATTCTTCGTCCTGCAAGCAGGCTCAGAAGCAACCCTCCAAGCTTGCCAGGTTTGTTCAGGTAGCACTGGGATATGAAATGATTTACATGTGGTGAATGTAAATCTAAAGTTCAACAGAGCTAGGAATGCATTTGTCCTTAAACCTGTCTGATCAATAAACTGGTTTAAACGATGATTTTCTTTTTTCTTAAAAAAGATGAGTTATAGCTCTCTGATATGTACCTAGGCATGTGGAGCTGTATCTATATATGTAGATACATTTACCCACAAACACACAGCTCTTTTACCACTAAGAGCTATTTCTCCTGTCCAGTAAATACCTAGTCATGTAGATCTGTATCTGTGTAGGCACATACACATACCCACACAAACACGGCAGGAAGCTGTCCTGGGACCACTATGTCCAGGCACAGCCCCTTGAATCACAGAATCATGGAATCAATTAGGTTGGAAAGAAACCTTTAAGATCATCGAGATCAACCTTTACTCCAGGACTGCCAAGTCCAGCACTAAACCATGTCACTGAGGGCCTCATCTACACGGTTTTTGAACTCTCCCAGGGACGGTGATTCCACCACTGCCCTGGGCAGCCTGCTACAATTCCTGACCACTCTCTCGGTGAAGAGATTTTTCCTAATATATAATGTAAACTTCCTCTGGTGCAGCTTGAAGCCGTTATCTCTTGTCCTATCACTTGTTACTTGGGAGAAGAGACCGACCCCACTTCTTGCCACCAGCCGGGCGGATCACTGAGCGCTGCCCGTAAAGCGGAGCCCTCAGAGGTCTCCTCCTTCTGCAGTACCGCCGGGGGCGGCTCCTCCTAGTGGGACACGCGGTAAACCCCGAGTTTTAAAGTGAAACCGAGGGCAGGCGGCCTGTGACAGGAACGGGGAGAGGCTCTCCCGGGGGAGGCAGCAGCGGCAGCACCGCGCCCAGACTGGGAGCCCCCTCCCCGGCAACTCGACCCCGTCCCCGGCGGAGGGGGCCGGGCCACCCGCCGCAGGGGAGACGCCGACACACCCCTCACCGCCTCCCTCCCGCAGCTCCGTCCTCCCCGGTACTCACAGAGCCCGTTAGAGCCGGTGCTGGTGAACATGGCGGCAAGGCCAGGCCAGGCCCGGCCCAGCCAGGTTCAGCCGCGGCCGGTGCCGCTGGCGGAACCCCCAGAGGCCGGGCAGACCCCGAGGAACCACACCGGGACGGGGACGGAGGCCGCGAGGGGACAAACGCAGCAGTCAGGCGAGCGGACGGCGCCCCCTGCCGGGCCCGCCGGGAGGGGCTCCGCCATCCTCCCGTCGGCTCGTCCCCGCCCCAGCCCGCCCGCTCGGCGGGCCCGCTGTCACCTCACCTCAGCGCCGCAGGACGAAGCCTATAAGATCCCATGTAGAGCGTATATATTCCCTTAATTAAGTGAAGGTAAGGCTGGGGCAGCTCCTGTGTGCCAGTCCCTGAGGCGGAGGGAAGGGTGCTTCAAAGCTGAGGTGTAGCTGTGCAGGGATAAAGTATGCTTTACTTGTCATGTATCATAGGTAATTGCTTCTATCCCTATAAATACAGTTTAAATGTGAAATTTGTAGGTACCTAAGGGAAGGCTGCCTCTTCATGCTGTGGAAAACTGTGGCACCCAAGGCTCACCCTAATTTTGGGAGTCCGTGAGGTAAGTGCCTGCTTAGGAGCTGTGAGTGAGTTCTCATTACAGCTAATGGGAATGTGGTCAATAACAGACAGTAGAGTCTGCAGAGTTTTACATATGATCGCAGAATCATAGAATCGTTTGGGTTGGGAGGGACCTTAAAGGTCATCCAGTAAAGTCATCCAGTTCCAACCCCCTGCCATGGGCAGGGACACATTCCACTAGATCAGGTTGCTCGGAGCCCTGTCCAACCTGGCCTTGGACACTGCCAGGGTTGGGGCGGCCACAGCTTCTCTGGGCAACCTGTGCCAGTGCCTCACCACCCTCATGGTGAAGAATTTCTTCCTAATATATAATCTACATCTCCTCTCTTTCAGTTTAAAGCCATGCCCCCTTGTCCTGTCACTACATGCCCTTGTAAAAAGTCTCTCTCCAGATTTCTTGTAGGCCCCTTTTAGGCACCGGAAGGCTGCTCTAAGGTCACCCCTGAGCCTTTTTCAGCCCATCTTTCTCAGGTTGTTTTCATAGCAGAGGTGCTGCAGTCCTCTGACCATTTTCATGGCTGCCTCTGGACTCACGCCAACAGGTCCACATCCCCCTTGTGTTGGGAGTCCCAGAGCTGAATGCAGCACTGCTGGTGAGGTCTCACAAAAGCAGAGGGGGAGAATCACCTCTCTCAACCTGCTGGTCATGCTCATTTTGATGCAAACCAGCACAAGGTTGGCTTTCTGGGCAGCATCAAAAGGTCAAATGATCAAATGAAGGGGTCTATAATGAAACTAATTGCTCCCTAGGCTCCCCCTACTGTACTGAACTGATCACCACCAGCTATGATGGTATGTTAGACACCTAGCTCTCTACCAGTGTGGTAGACACCTAACACGAAGTGAGGCAAATTCCCAGTTTCATACAGATGTGGTATAATAAGACTGAAATTATTCTGGCACCAAATTTTAATGATACTTTCAAGTCCATGTAGAAATCAGTTTACTGAAATAAGTCATGCTAGGCATTTAAAAGGTGATGATGGTTTGCTCTGCATCGCAGATGTGAAGGTCAGGAAGAAGCAGGATGAGGTCTGTGTGCTGTGTTTGCGCACTTGATGGAACTGAGGGCCTCAAAGTCACATTTAGGTTACTGCAGGTACAAGATTGGGAGCAAATGTCACTCTGGAACTGGAAAATGTGACTTGTCAGCAGGGTAACAAGTTTTAAACAGACACTCAATAACAAAAAAATTTTAAGCAAGTCATAAATTTCCTAGATTCCATAATGTTTTTTTAATATACCACAAAAAATAAAATGCCTTTTAATATTTACATTCAACTGCAACTATTACATAGCACTTGTAAATGTGAAGATCCTGAATCTTTGTAACCAAAATCTCTTAACACTTCCAAGGGGACATAAGAAGGCCATATGCTTGGGTCCACAAAGGCTTCAGCAAAGTTTAGGATGTCAGTATGTAATTTTAAAATGTCCAGCTCCCAGCACTGATTTCAGATTTGCGTCACTCACTTGCTTTCCCTGAACACGGCCCGCAGTGGGGCAGCTAGGAATGGGATTCACAGTCACCTCACAGACAGTAGATAGTCTAAACTTGCTAGAAGGGAGAACCAAAGAGATGGTGCATTGGAAATCCTCTCTCCCAAGCTGAGGTTTTTCATCAGCAAAGAATCTCAATTGGATTCACAGCACTAAACCCATCACGTACCATAGCTTGTGCCTTTGGCTATGAACAACTGGTTTACTCTTTGCTGTTAAAGCCCAGCTGAAAGAAGTGATTTGCTACAAAAATTCTTTCTTTCAAATGCAAATGGCTCTGGCTGCTGTTGTTACACATGCAGACTGTCTTGCCAGCATGCTGGATGTGCATAACTGTACATGTCACTGGCAACCCTCATTTATAAGGAAAGGGAAGGTAAATAATGAGATGCAAAGCTTGTGTAAGCTTGCTCAGTGTGAAACCTCATTGGGAAAAGCTTGGGTGCCTCCTGAAGCCTTAGGATTAATTAATCACCATTTTGACTCACCTCCATTTAAAATAATTAAACCTTTTTGTGGATCTGGCTTTCATATAGGTGAGGATAAAACCTGAAAAGTTTTTCAACATTGCCTGCATAATAGGCACAATAGGATTGCTGGTTTAATGCTGAAGATAAAGCTTGCTTTTATTTCTTTTCACAGTCACACAGAAAGGAGTAACAGAACAATCATTAATTTAGAGGTTTAGAGTCCTGATAACCAAGGCCTAGTGTTCTTGTTTTATAAGCTCAGTTTGGAAGATTTCCCTCAATTTATGTCCTACAAGGTAATCGCATTAGAGGGATTCTCCTCTGTACTGTTGAGCACTGGAATTGGATTGAAGTCAGAACCTCTGAACATGCTGGAGATTTATGCATGTATTCTGCTGAATAAGGAGGCATTCAGGCAGACATTTAAGATCTTTTTTGAAAATAGCCTTGTGGACTTGTTGTCACTTGTTATTGGCAGATACAGCAAAACTGAATGAGTAGCAATAGTTGGCAAGATTCTCCAAACAACCTACCAAATTACTTGCAGATTTGTCAATACTGTTGGGACATGAGCTGGCTCTGAATTCATTTGCCAATATGTCACTTAAGTCTACAAATATCTTCCAGATCCTATGAACCATCTAATGATATCCTTTGTTTAAAAAAAAAAATTAAATCATTTTTTTCTGGGATGAGATCAGGTGAGATGCACTATGTGTTTCTGAGAAAACTACATGCCCCATGCTGCTAATCGTGGTTTCCCTTACTGATTGAATGATAGAGGAAAAGCAGATTTTGCCCTCAGATACAGTGACAAGCAGAGAGGTTTTTATATCCCAACACCATCAGCATCAACTGATAGCCTGTCATAAGTATTACACAAATGATTTGCATTATTTAAATATAGAGTGTTTGTCCACCTTGGAGTTAAATAAAATTATCAGTCCTCATGCTTGCCTTGGAACATATCCCAGAATAGGAATGCTAGCACTTATCTACTAATCCACTCAGAACAAGCTTAGAAGGCTTTGACACTGCTCAAATGTCAGCTTAAATATCTCCATTTGTTTATTACATCTAGTTAATGGGGTCAGTTTGGTATGTTCAAAATAGAGTTATTTAAACTTCCTGCTCAAAGGAAAATCCCAGGAGACTGGAATTTATATTTCTCACTATTTTCTAACATGAGTAAGTTGCTTTCTTCTCTGAACTTGTGGTGGTTTTGAACAACCTCTTAATTACTAATTAATCTCAAAATCAGGTGCTCCCCTGACATATTGAATGAAGGAGAGCAGCTGAGTAAACCAGGGTGGAAACATAACACATCGCTTGGGAATTTTCTGGTTTAACTCTGTGCAGGTTAATGATTCTGCAAGTTAATGGCAGGTGGTCTGTCTCTTTGACATCTGGGGTTTCCATAGGATTCATAATAGTACCTGCAGTTACTACAGTTACCTGAAATATTAGCAGATACCTGAAAAGAGGTTAATGTTAAGCTTAATGATTTCAGTTAACTTCTCCCTACAGTTTCGAACCCTTGTCTTCAGTTACTGTGAGGAAGAAAGCCATGCACCATACATGCTCTACAGAAGAGACCTCTGTGGCAGTGTGGCTTGCTGATAGCAGCTTGCAGGGGAACAGGAGGAAGGGCAGAAGGCAGAGATTCACTGGGCTGAAATCAGACTGATTGGTTCTGTGCCTTTCCAAAATTAGACAGTTTCTCTCACTCCCCCAGAAGTGAATAAAGCTTCATACTGCAGCAGACCTGCTGTACTCTTAAGCTGCAGTGGGCTCATTTATTACAGACTTGTTTAATTTTTTACTGCAGCTGGGACATACAGAACATTTTCTAGATTAATTCTTTCCATGTGGACCCGGTAGGCTTACAGTTAATGTAAGGAGCAATGGCATGGCTAAAGGAGGAACTTCCAGGCTTTTCTTAAGTTCTGAAGAGTGTGCAAAGGAAGGTAATCTAGTGGGGAAAATGGCAAGAGTACTGGGTTTTATCTGGATTTTTTTCAGTTGATTTTGCATCACACTATTATAAAAAATATTAAGAGTGCTCAAAAGTTTTCCATTTGTTACAGTTCTAGCCATTTCAATGAGATTTTTTTGCAGAACTTTAAATTCCATGATAAACCTGAGCTCCATGTCAATGTCTAGTAATACAGATATGTGGGTAACTATTGGTTCAATAACTCAAGTCACCAGCTGGTGGCCACCAGCAGCCACCAGCTCACACTCTGCATCTCCATTTGTCTCCATTTTGTCCCAGCAAGTCACCAGAAACATGCTGCATCTGCCACCTTTTGGATTCATGCCCTGCCCCTCAAATGTAGGGGAGAGGAGAACAGTGATAAGGTGCATCCAGCATAGATGTATGGAGGAAGCACAAGAAGAGAAGTGCTTGCCTGGACCTATGGGGCAAACTTGCTTTTTTCATGCTGTGTCTTAGTTGAAGATGCTCAGAGGGCTGGAGCACCTCTCCCATGAAGACAGGCTGAGTGAGTTGTGGTTGTTCAGCCTGGAGAAGGCTCCGGGGAGACCTTAGAGCAGCTTCCAGTACCTAAAAGGGATCTACAAGAAATCTGGAGAGGGACATTTTACAAGGGTAGGTAGTGACAGGACAAGGGGGAATGGATTCAAGTTGAAAGAAGGTAGATTTAGATTAGCTACTAGGAAGAAATTCTTTACTGTGAGGGTGGTGAGACACTGGAACAAGTTGCCCAGAGAAGTGGTGGCTAGAATTGTTCAAGGTCAGGTTGGACAAGGCTTTGAGCAACCTGGTCTAGTGGAAGGTGTTTCCATGGCAGGGGGGTGGAACTAGATGATCTTTAAGATCCCTTACAATCCAAACCATTCTGTGATTCTATGATTTGTGGACTGAACATGCACACTGACAATTTTACACTGGAAGTCTTAACTATCACTTCTCTTTAGACAGTCAACCATCTAATCCTAAGCACTGACACCACATGCATCCACATTTTGGCATCTCTGTGCTCAGGGGCGGCACCAAACACATGATTAGCAGCTTTGTCTCTAAATACTTGTAAACACTCCCTTAAAGACGTCCTCCTTAAATTCTGTTTCACAGAAGCCAGGCTGTTTATTTCAATGAAGTTTGAGATCATGTGGAAAACAAGAGCATGCATGGTAACGTAATCAGAAACTGGATCCTAATGCAAATGTATTAGGGAGACAAGTTTAAGATAGGCAAATTGATTCTTAATTGTTGATTTTTATCTCAGGTTTTACATTTAATGTTCTGTCTTTGTGTTCCATTTGACTTTAGGTGAAACCTCATTCTTGTGAATTAAAAGTACACTGGCTGAGCAGCTGTCATTGGATTTTAGAACACTCATCTGAAGGGCATTAATTTGCTACAAGGTAAATTGGAAAACATAAGAAATCATTATTAAAATGATGAGATTTAAACATAGTACTCAGAATACCCAATTAAGGTATCCATTAGGAGGGGAAAATATTATGGGTAGCATTGCATAATGCAACATACTTTGCACATTTGTACTCTTCTATGCTTATTAGACATCAAGCACTAGCCATCTATTTCAGACTGAATTTATGTCAAAGAGTACCTTTGTGATCCAGAATATATGATGAATTACCCGTGATAACTTTCAGAGACAGCAGAAAACTTAAGTCTTTAAGAAGCAGAAAACAAGTTGCATTGTTCCATACAGGTTTGGCTGTAGTGAAATAGCCTGTTTGGAAAATCAGATTTTAGAAAATTTTTAGAGGGGTATTCAAGGGATTTTTTTTCTCCCTGATACCTATCCATATTTCTCAGATCTCCTCCTCCTCTTGCTTCACAGCCCTGTTGTATTCCTACCTGTGTATGTCCACACAGTGCAAAGGTTATTAAACACCCATATTTACACTCGGAGGCAAATCTGTGTTTTAAGGCACTACGTGGCCACCCACACCATGATGTTATCAGGCCTGTAGCATAACACTGCTTAGAGATTAAAAAAAAAATAAAAATAGAGCTTTAATCAGTTCTTCTCCCCAAATGTCATTATCTTCTTTGTATTTGATTTAAATTTGAGCATGAAGGAATAGTCTCATCTTTTTTTTCCCTCACTCTAATTACCCATACCAGAGGATGTTTGTGTTCATATAATTTTAGTGAAATACATGACCCTGCAGAGGAACCTGCAAAAAGTTAAAGTATGTTCACCCCAGAAACATACTTGAGTGATATTTGCAATAGAAGTATGTATGCCTCCAGGAAATAAGCATTCCCAGGGTTGCTGGTTTTCCTCCATAAATGTTAGTAACGGCAAAGTTAGGTGTCAAAAATATGTATCATACAAAAATGTAAAATTTTGCCCAGTTGTGACCTTTAAATTGCCATCAGAAAACTGCTTTTCATTATCAGAAAGAGGAACTATTGTTAAAAAAAAGAAAAATAAATCAGTGTAGTAATAAATCACATTTAAATACAGCGGAGTTATCAGAAACACAAAAAGTACAGCTTATTGCAGTTATTCTTGATCCTGTGCTGCATTTTTCCAGTGTGGGCCATTTTCTGTCAACAAGCACCTGCTGGAAACATTTCTAAACCTGAGGATTAGACCTAGTCTAAAACAGAAATATGAAGCTAATTAAATGCAAAAGCCAGCATTCTTACTGTTCCTTTAGTTCCCTTCTCTGCATGAAGGAAGCATTTCTTGTTTTTCTTGCTGAGCACAGTTTAATATAGTTTACTATTGTTTTTAAATACTTTCAGTACTTTATAAATTTTGGTTGGGAGCACTACGAAAATCTGTGTTCGTGGAGGTAGTTGCAACAGAAATTGCCACCTGAAATCTGTGGCAAAGAAATCTTCCTTGGCATGAAGATGATGTTCTGGACCTGCCCTTGGCTGCTATTTTGGCTTCCTTGCCTCACCCAGGAGGTGGGATGGTGCCATTTTCTGGTTAGCCAGCATAACAGCAAGGCTGGTTTTACACTGAGCTCTCGGGGAGACTTGCCTGGGGTATTACACCAGAGAAACAAGAGCCAATGTTTTGTTCCACTGTAATTATTGAAACAAACTCCAAAATGCCTGAATAAAGAAGCTTCTGGGGAACTTTCCATGCTGCCTTCAGCCTGGACAGGTCAGCCTGGGCTCCATGCCCTCATGATCTCAGGTGGCTTGGTGGTTTCTCTCCAACAAATACGACTGCACCCAGGGGAAGTGAGACAGTAAGTGGGAATCCATTGGGAGAGGAGGAACTGGAAGGCCTTATTTGAAGGGGTGTGTAAACCACTACAATAATCTTTTCTATTGTCACACTCACATGCTGGAGCTCTTGCCACAGACTTTTCCGGGGCACGGGCAACCAGCTGCACCAGGCATCTGGAGTCCAGTGACCTCTTACCTGCTCATATAGTGATCTGGGCGTTGTGCTAAAGGTTGCATTAAGGCCATTTTTGGCACTTAAGTCAAGAAATAATGATGGAATACTAAATCAGCTCATACTAAAACTCAAGTTTATTAGCTTGTCCCTAAGTTAGGAAGCTTTTTTAAGCAGGAGGAAAATAAGTGAAGTCAATAAACTCCTTCGTACATGCAAGATATGCATTTGCTGCAACATTTGTTCCTTAAATACATGTGTGATTTCTGTGTACATATAGTTGTAAGTATATATTTACAACACGTCATGTTACACATGTGTCAAAAAAGTATTAGTACAAATATTGGTTTAATTCATGAATACTGGACATTTGGACAGAGCAACCTGATCTAGTGGAAGGTGCCCCTGCCCATGGTGAGGGGTTGGAACTAGATGAGCTTTAAGGTCCCTTCCGACAGAAGCTGTTCTATGATTTTATGTCACTACTGTTGATTAATTTTATATATGAATGTGTATTGAGAAGAAAGTATTTTCAGCAATTTTTCTAAGGGTTTGATTACAGATTTCAGTGTGGTTAGTGCTTCTACAACAGCATGGTTGGGGTCTCGTTAACAAATCATTTGAACATATTATCCAGTCGATATAAGTGAGAGCTTTGCATGTTTGCATATACAGGAAAAACAGCTTGCAAGCTGAATGCAGCGTCAGTGATTTTCCTGGCAACACATACATCTGGGGGCAAAAATTAGCCTAGACTGCATTTCAATGTCATACAAACCCCAGAAACTATTTTTATCTGCAGGTTGCTGTGTAAAGAAATAGACACTATGTCCAGGAAAAGCACCAATCTGTGGCTTAGGTACCTGCATTTGATGCAACACTTAAGATGTGTCAGTACATTACACTGTAGAACAGGAAAGAAAAACACTCCCACTGAAATAGAGCATGTTGGCCTCAGATGATTTATGGCCTGATTCAAAGCGCCCTGAATTCAACAGCGTGAGTCCTGCTGTTTTTTTCAGCAGGGTTTGGCTCAGATGGGTGCACTTCAAACTTCCAAACCACAGTCAGTACAGCAGTGAGCTAGGCCAGATGGAAAGTGTCCGTCACAGCCAGGATGATTCAGGGAGCAGATGGGCTCTGCAGCCCTCCTGCTTTGTTTTGAGAGGGGAGCGGGAGGACACATAGCTGATGTTGGGTGGGAGGCCGCTGCTGCTCTGAGTGGGTGGTGAAGGCATGAAAGAAGATATTAACGCAAGGAGAAAAAGAGAGAGGAAGGGAGTGGTCAGAGGGGAAGGCTGGGTGGAATGTGCGGAATTAGCACGGGGTGGAGCAAGAGACAGGGGAAAAACAGAGGCACGCTTGGGGTTATGCAACTTGGCAGGTCTTAAACCTGACACTGACAGAGGAGGAATCCATAAAAAGCTCTGAGGAGGAGATGTGGCAAGGGGATTGACAAGAAAGGTAACACCAATGGGATGGAGCCCAGGTGATCTGTGCATGGTAGAATGAGGACATAAAAGAAAGAAAAAATGAGAGATAATGAGATAAAGAAAAAGAGTAAAAGAAGAGTTGCTGAACTACCCTGAAGAATTCTGTTTGCCTTGTATGTTGTATCCATAGAGTTTCTTTTTCTGTAAGTTCATGCAATGAAAGGATTTTCTGAGCTGCACTGTTTCAGGACTAGCATTTCCTGTATCTGGATGTGCTAGTTCACGTGTTCCACACAAGAGGTGCAAAAAGTGTCCTAACTCTATAAAATCCAAATATTATAGGACCGTCTGGGGGACAGTCGGCAGGGGGCAACACACAGCAAAACACTCCAAATGGCGTGCAGGTAAATAACTTCTTGGGAGGTGCTTGTCAATAAATAGTACTTGAGCAAAAAATATTGCACATAAGGAACCACGATGCACACAAGTCGTAATCTGTGAGCTAAACTAAGGAGGTGCTGGGAGGCAGCTAAAGAGGTTGGGGTACTCTCCAGAGGAAAAAAAACACCACAGATGAAAAAGTAATTTTGTCTAATATTGGTGCTTTTGTCATGGAAAGTGCCCAATGGAAACCTGAACTGATCATCAGGTGGCTATTTCATAGCAGTCAGAAGTAATGACACATGCAAAAGAGCCCCATTAGCAGCTTCAGCGTACAAGGACGAGCCCTTGCCTGCTACCAACTGAAAATGGGAAGGGATCTAATTGTGCTGTGTTGGAACAAATCCCAGTAGAATTTAAACTTGATCATATAGACTTCGAACTAAAATTTGATGACTCACTAGTGTTTTGGCGATTACTACAAGCACTTTTCAGGAAGTTTCAAAGTTGTTTGCAAGTGAGAAGCTAACACCTTCTAAATCCAGGGAGTACACAACCTGGCTTCTCCCTTCCCTGAAAGAAGCTCAAGGAAGAAAACCAGTAAATGGATCATTTTATTCACTGACATTGCGTAACCACCTATGGTAAGAATTTAGGGTGAGGCCTGAGAAACACTTTATCGAGATGGAAAATTGTAAAAGGTGTGTGTCTTTCATCACATATTTCTTCAGTTTGTCTTGCTGATATAGTAGCAACCAAGATGATCTTCTCAGACATAGCCATAATTAACAAAGTATTGGCCTGGATTCACGATAAGAATGTTTCAGACCTTTAAGAACAGAACCAAGATCCAAATGGGTAGTAGATTACTCACTGCTGAAAGAAGACCTTCAAGGATTTAATTAGTGTGTGGAAAAAAATGAGGTAACTTTCACAGTGGGCAGAGGGAAAGGTGGAGCTGCAGGATTCTCTCTTTTCCTGGGCTGTCACATCCCGCAGGAAAGCTGAATTCATGAGAACCAACAGACAATGCTGTCAAAACCCAGGCGCTAATGCTGTCTTGGCTAGACCGCAGCAATTATGAGCCCTCTGTCAGCACCCTGTCTGGCTTTCCCACGCGTCCGAGGAATGAAGGAGATTTGAATACATTTACAAATAACAATTTAGTCAAGCCAGAAAAAAGAAGTATGTTTGAAAGGAACTCTAGATTTAA